AGTGTTAATAGGCATTCTCTTATTGTTGGTTGATTTAATAGTTCATCAATTAAGGTGGACGCCAAGACACTTTTCTGGTTATAATGGTCTTGCAATAATGTCCAGGCTGCAGAATAGTTTTCCTCCATTATGCTGAAATGACTGATCCATTTTTCGTCTACACCTGTAACATGCAATTTCAAATACCTCCTTGTTTGAGTATCTGGTAACGGAAGTTTATCTACCATTTGCGTGAGCAAGTCAAAAAATTGTCTCAATTTCAAGTAATTCCCATTAAAATTTGGGATTGTTACCTTTGGCAATGGCAGTGAGGAACGCATATTTGTTTCTGCTACTTCTGATTGTTTGTTTTGTTGTTGTTCAAAGTTAATGGCGAGCTCTAACAAGCATTGTTGCACAATGCACAAATCTCCAATTTGGTAATATACCCCTTGGTTAAATCCAAAAGCCAGTGGATTTTACAAGTTATCCCACAGTTCATCATGCAAACATCTAAGTTGATTCCATTGTTGCATGATCGTATTTGATTTGACTTCGTAATATTGCATTGACTGTAAGCCTTGGCTCTCCGAAAAACTCTGTACAATCCTTTTTAAAACTTGCCATTCGAGCAGATATTTCGTATTAAACCATTTGTCGTAGACAATAGTTGTGGCTGTTACGCTATTTGGTTGCTGGCACCTTCATCAAAGTTGTCTGCTGTTTTGATTGTTGCCATCGTTGATCTTGAGTCCTTGCTAAACGTACTTCAAACGCTGAATATTGACTGCTGAATGTTGACTGTTGACCACTGCTGCGTCAGGCCAGTCTAGTGCTGCTGTCCTTTTTACGAGGTCGCCAAAAATGATTGATCAAAATGTTTTATGAAAAGTATCAGAGGAGGCTCACACTGGTTGCTTTTACCTTTTTTATTGATACAAATTACTTGCTCACTTGAAACTCTCTCTTGCCAGTGCCAATAGTGTTTTTCTATCAGGATCACGTCGAGGATATCAAAATGTGTGACCAAATGTTTGAATCAAATGTTTGCATGTACTGAACACCTCAATCCAGTACTTATGTTGATCCCATCAAAAATCAGTGAATTCAGAGATTTCGTTGATTGCATTTGAATGATCCTAATTATTGAACACCTGAATGCCTTTTATTTCAAAATTAATATTCAATTTACAATAACTAAATTAACTAAAATAAACTTGGCTATGAATGCCAAACAATGATCTTGTTACATACTGCAAGTGTGCATTTTCTTACAAACGAAATTTGACGCTTTTGTTTTCATGTGCAAACACAAGCGTGTGACGTGTTTTAGGCATTTCATTGACAAAAATAATTTTTTACAACAATATATATTTTAAACAAAATAATTATTATACAAAGTAATACAAACAGATTATTACTATGATAATTCATGATAATTCAAACAAAATAATACAAACAAATTGTTACTACGATAATTCATACAAAAATCTAAAATTACATTTGACATGGATTTTAAAAAATGTACTCATGTTTGTCTACGCCATGACGCTCTTCGACCACCTCTCAAACTACCTTACGATGGACCATTTAAGGTAACCGATCTCGACGATAACTTGATGACTATTCTACGAAAAGACAAACTAGTACGTGTAAGTATAGATCCCTATCAAAGCTGCTATCTCTGTGTTGACGAGCAAAAAACAGATCAACAGCAGACGGCATAACAGTCTTTTGCATATCGAAAACCAGACGAGAAAAACCAGAAGTATCCTTCAAATAAAACTCAAACATCGTCTAGCAGCCGACGAATTCGGTTGCCAGTTCGATTTGTTTTGAGAATGTTTAATCAGTGCCAGAATCACTAATTATATAGTGACATTCGTAGAGATAGTGACGTGGCGTACAATTCTTTCAACTGCAAACGTAATTTCACCTTGAAGATCTCTTTTGAAAATTGCACTAAAGGCGTGCGCAGCAGTGGTGCAATCTCTCTCTCTCTCTTAATTTATTCATTCGTGAACATTGTGAAATATTGTGTAAATAGTAATAATAAAAGTGAATCTAATTTAACATCAAAAGTTGTGTTTTGCTTCACTCGTTAATCATCTCTTAATGTCTAACTCTGTATATATCTGTAGTTTCGTACGGAAATAAGTACTTTTAAATATTATAAATAAATACGAATGTCTTTACTTTTTTTGTAGAAAGAAGGAATTTGGAAAACATGAAAAAATTGTACTTCCAAACGGTGTCCTACCGACCACGTCATTTCTCTGTTACTGTTACTCCATTCTATTGTTTCTCTTCTCTTGTATGAGTTAAGGAATTTCTACAGGTATAAGATTGATTACGTTTGATAATTGGGTATTTGGAAATTGAAATATTTCTCGTCTTGACTTCAATGATTCGGAACTATATAGTACTAGTCATCATATGTTTCACCATTATCATTGCGATTGATTAAAATAGGTTGGTTGATTTTCTTTTGCGTGCATTTCTTGTAATAAAATTTATAAGTTCAATAATTACTCTTGCTACCTTTTCTTATTTGAAAAGCAAAATCCAAATATTTATATTAAATATTTATTATTTTAAATATTTATATTATTCTTTAAGCATTAAAATACCTCATACATTGCTTATAGTATGTTCTAGTGTATATCTTTGACCGCGTTTAATCGTACCAACAATTACGTTATTTGACTTATTCAAAGTACGTAAAATACTCGAAGGAACATTAGGTTATGTGTCGTTATCACTCTGACAGTAATACTACAATATGTTAGTATAGCCAATTATTAATACTACTTATAGGGGGACCCTATGCATAGCATTTCGAGTTATGATCGAAAGAGTACACGTTTAAAATATTCTTCAGTGTCACAATTTAGTTTTTCTTTAACAAAATACTTTCAAATACATTTAGCAAGCATACTAGTGTTTGTAAAGCTACTACAAATTGAAGAACGCAGTTTAGGTGTAAAGATTTCATGACAGATTATAAGAACTTTAGACTCTGTACAGGCAACACTCAAGTCACCTGCCAATGTTACTTTTTTCTGTTGTTCCAGTACTTCGTAAGTTAAGTATTCTGAGTTTTTGGTATGTATAAAACCAAAACATTGGCAGTTCTTAATTTCTTCACCTCGGATGCTAGTCTACCTGCTACATTTGCTTCGCCAACTACAGTAACAACAATATTCCCTTTAAGGATTCTCTGTGCTAATAGACTCCAGGCGACTCCAAACTGAATTATTATGTAGAGTCCAATTAATAGCATATTATTGAGCAAAGAATTGTAGTCTACCTGCTACATTTGCTTCGCCAACTACAGTAACAACAATATTCCCTTTAAGGATTCTCTGTGCTAATAGACTCCAAGCGACTCCAAACTGAATTATTATGTAGAGTCCAATTAATAGCATATTATTGAGCAAAGAATTATTTGAGCTTACTATAGTTAATTAGGTTCTTTAGATATATAAGATCCACCGTAATAGAGAGCATATTCTTAGTTTAAATATGCTGAAATATGTAACTCAACTTAAAACGTAATGTATTCGCAGTGTCTGTATTCTACTAAACTTTAGAATAGCAAACAACTACTTCCAAAAGCTTACTATTTTGCTGCTACTACCAGTGAATCACAAGTTTTTCTTGAGTTTTAGAAGCAGCGTCTCAGATTCTACCTTTTAAACGCATCTTAAATAAGCCTCCTGTTACAAAAATATTACACACTTGACATTTATCACTTACCATGCAGTTGCTTTAAGTCTGCATTAGGTAAGGTCCTTGAAAAGTCCCATCTAGCGAAAGTATTAATGTTGATACTTTTTTTGAACAAGTTTAGTAGCTGGCACTACTAATTTATAATTAAAAGAAAGATTGCTACTTTATGGTGGACTAGTATTTAACGGGAAGGTGTCAGTTCATGAATTTGCAATGGAGGTATATGAAATAAAGCAATACTTAAAGTTGTTCAAGAAATAATTCAAATTAATTACTGGTTATTTATTGTTTTTACTCAGATATTCTGTGCAGATACTTTATTAAATATCTTCATCTGTATTTACCTATCAACATCAAACATACAAGGCACAGTAACAATAAAAAGCCGCTAAGGATATACATTTGATTGTACGGGTACTCAGTGCATATATCGAATGAAATGTAAAAACTCATCCTTTGGTCGATTCAGTTTTCGTTGAATTCTGCTACTAGTTATCTGGGCACTTTTGTGCGAATGTCCTTGCTTAACACCATACTAAAATAATGTGCAAGTCCGGCTCAATGTACTTTAAGTCGCAATAATTCTTACATTATTCAATGTAAGAGTTTTGAAGTCAAAAACATGTGCGCCAGTCAACTTTTGTGGCAAAAAATCGACATTAAAGATTCAAAAAGGTCCTTATGCACTTTGCGGTCCTGTACAAAAATAAAATAACTCGACAACTTCACTTTGATAATCAAAAATATTATTAATTTCTTTTATAAATAATAAATTACTAAAATATAATACATAATAAATAAATATTTGTTATTTACATACGATTCTTTAAATTTATTTATTTAAGTAGATATTGTTAGTCTTACGTTTGATAAATAGAATATTTACATTGCGTTTGATTAAGTTAAATTTGCTTGCGTTTTTAACACTTACGACTCAGGTAAATAAAAAAATATATATATATTTACTTGCACTAATTAACAACATTTTAAAAAGGATATTAAAAAGGAAAACAATAAATTTGGTATACTATCAATTCTCTCTTTGCTCAAGTATGATTCGGCACAGTTCCAATATTGCATCCCTACAATGAGTGCCTTTAGTACATTTTTGCACTCAACCCATTAGCCATGTGCTATTCAATGTTGAGTGACTTGAACTGTAAACGTGATCCAAGCCAACTTTTGCACTCACTGAGATTACAGTCTGACAGTCACTGGAGTGACATTGTGAACCATTTGCTCGGAATGCTTTCTTGTGTCCAGTATTTGAGTTTTACTTGATTTTATGCCTATCGACAACCACAGCCAATCACTGTCATGTCCTGATAGTTTTTCAGAACCACAGTATTTTGATCGTTGAGGTACAGTATGGATATACTGTCCAGTTGCGTGGGCACACAACATGGTTCAGGCGTTTCAGCTGGATCTATGTAATGTACTAAGTTCTGCAAAACCGCATGATTTGTTGCATTCAGATGATCAGCCATTGGAAATGGACATTTTCCATGGCAAAAAAAAGCATCGTAACCTGGAGGAGCAACAATCCAATCACTCCAGCCAACATCAGCAAAGTCAACGTACAACGAATGTCGACTGCAAATACTGTCGCCTTTGTTGCGTTGCCGTCGACGGTTGTGTCCTGCACGTTTGGTACGCTTACTTGGCTCAAGTAAGTTACGTGGCTTATGAGTTTCGTCATCAGTGTAAGCAAAGAGCACGGGCTGTTTATGTTTCCAACTATCACGCGATTCATCCGCATTGCGACGTAATCTAATATGATGAACTGGTGCAGGTTTAAAAGTGCGCATTACTCGAATTTCCACCAACAGGCCATAGTTCTGCTTTGGATGTTTCAGCCAACGATCGACGGCTGGTTGTACGTCCAAACTGATAGCGTCGGTGCAGTTGGCATGTACACTCTTGTTATCCAAGAGTAAATAGCTTGATTCCCGTTTATTGCGCACACCGACTTCGGTTATGTCATAGACTAATATCTGATAGCGTTTACGTAGCGCTTGATTTGGACGATGTGAAGTTCTCACAACTTTGTCGCGCGTTAATTGTAACTCGGCAGCCGTAAGCTTTTCTGCTTTTGGTATGGTAGTCACATCAAATCTCAGACGGAATCGATGATAATGCGGGAATTTTTCATCTAATTTGCTTTCTGAAAAGAAAGGAAAATAAAGAAAATAGACTTTTTAGTAGTTTTCTTTTATTTATTAATTTGTTAGGCTATAATAATTGAAAATAAATAGTTTACAAAAAAAACGTAATTACAATATTAATTTATTAAAATTAGTACATGTCAAAAATGGTTAAAACATAGCTTTGCTGTCATGGTGATAATTCTAATAAGAGAAAAAAAGAAGATAATTCTTCTAAAAGACAATTCTTAAGATGAAAGCGGTATCAAAAAGGTTAGCCCATCGCTAACTTGACCATTTCGTGAACAAGAAGCGCTATAAGAAACACAATGCTCTAGCAAAAAATAAAGTAAAAAGCAGTCTGAAAAAGAAGACCATCATCTTCACCATCATCATCTTTTCAGCAGATCATGTTTGCGGTGAATTGATAAGATTGAGAGATTATTTACTGCACTTAATGAACGGAAATATAGCAACGGATTGTCAAAGCCACTTAAGAATGTTAGTAATATTATATAAACAAGATATTATAAATTATAAAATAATATATTGTAAAATAAGTAAATATTTTATACTATATAATAATTTATAATATAAGTAAATATATTTTATATTTTATTTATTTTATTTTTATATATATTTTATATATAGTAAATATTTTATATTATATTTATTTTATAAACTATCCTACCTCAATTGCATTTGCATAAAGCATACAAAATACCACGTATATAATGTATTGAATGCTATAACATGCACAGTATTTAAATTTCATAAAGTTAAGAGTATGGTTAGCATAGAGTGCGGTAAGCAACAAGGATATTAAAATTTCAGAAAAAAGTATTTAATCGCAATATCATTATCTGAAGTATAGAGGAAAATAGAAGAAAAAAAATTGATTTCAATCCATCAGTTTAGTTTTAGGAAAAAACACTCAACAATTGACCAACTGCATAGATTTGTTAGCACCATAGAAAACGCGATGGAAGAGAAAAAAGAATGTTCTGCCGTATTCCTCGATGTGTCACAAACTTTCGACAAGGTATGGTATGCAGGTTTGCTTCAAAAATTGAAAATCATGCTACCTACAAAGTACTATGAAGTGCTTTCATCATACCTTGATGACCGATATTTTAACGTCAAATACGAAAACTCTTTTTCGCCTTTAAAAAAGATAGCCGCTTTAGTACCACAAGGAAGTATTCTGGGGCCACTATTATATCTCGTATATACACATGATCTTCCATCAGCAGATCAGTACGTAACCGCTACTTTTGCCGATGATACTGCAATATTGGCAATAGACAGCACTATTGAAACCCCAATGGCCAAACTACAGGAGGCCGTCAATCACATTGATTCATGAGCCAAGAAATGGAGAATTAAGTTAAATAAAAACAAATCAGTGCACGTAGTATTTTTTTTAAAGAAGACTTCCTAAAAACCAATAGACATTGACACCGCTGTAGTCCCATACGCGGATGAAGCCAAATACCTTGGTATGACACTCGACACCAAATTGCGCTTAAAGGCTCTTGTCAAGAAAAAACGCAATAAACTTGATCTAAAGCTAACCAAATTATACAACCTCATTGGCAGACGTTCAAAACTATCTTTGCACAACAAGCTCCTCTTATATAAACATACCCTAAAGCCAATCTGAACTTACGGCTTACAGTTCTGGGGGTGCGCCAGCAAAAAGCATATTGCTACTATTCAACGCCTGCAAAACAAGGTACTCCGAAACATTGTAAATGCACCATTTTACGTAAGAAATAGTGATCCACATTCTTGATCTTCGTATGCCAACAATATCTGAAGAGTCGAAATAATGTGCAATGGCATACAAACAGCGCCTGCAATGTCACGTTAACGTAGCAGCATCTAGTCTTCTCCAGGCGAATCCTCTTCGAAGACGGTTAAAGCGGAAAACTGTAGCCGAACTTATGGAAATAAATTAGCACATACTTTATTTTTCATGTATGCTTCTTTGAGCCTACATCTTAAATAATTAATGCTTTTTTCTCTTAATTATGTAACTCCAACTAAATTGCTTGCTAGTATCACCTTAATATTATACTAGTTGCAATATCATAACGCTTCTGTACAATTTTTTAGGATTCGTTAATAAAACAAAAAAAAAAAAGAAATAATCTGAAGTGTTATCTATGCTTCCAGTTTTAAACAACTCAGCACTTGAGATTTTCAAAGATATAATAATTTCCATTGTTTGGTATATACAATAGCATTAAGTGCATGCGCTTAACACTTGACTTACAGCAATTGCCATGAAGAATCCTGATTGTACTCATACATATGCTAAAAGTGTACAATATTAAAAACAAAACCCTTAAATTGTGTTCAAGGTCATTCGGCTAAATAAAAAGGTGCCTTTATCCTTACAAGTGTCTACACATGTTAACTGCACAACCGATTGTTTTCTGGTCATATGAAAATAAGTTGAAAATATTATTTAAAAAATAGTTCATTTTCTAATATAATTATTGGGTAGTGTACATAATTTGCATATTAGTTTAAAAGTCTGGAAATTGCTTTATAAATTGGTTAACGGAATATGTACTAGAAGTTAAGTTAAAAAATTAATATAAATAAGTAAAAATTTAACAAAAATAATAAGAATGGTTAAAGTAGTTAAGTGCGGTTTTTATTTTTGTGAAATTTTACTAGACCTTAAAACGTAGCCCTGCTTTATAAGCTTAGGTAGACAATTGATCTCACAGAATATTCTAGCAGAAACTCGAAATAAAACTTTTAATCCACACCGATCTTCGTAAATGAAAATACAGACAAAAAGTCACAAGAACAGTCTCGGTATGAATCTCCTTATCTTATTGACTACGGTAATTAAAAATTGATAACCTAAGAACAGAACTTCCATTCAGAAAATATTGAAAAAATAGAACTTCCTTTCAATGTATAGTCCCGATTGTGCTACAGAACTGACAAAGTGTTAAATCCAATAATTCATCAGACTACTCAAACCTGAGGAAATTGTATGGCTTGACAAAAATCTCATTCAAAGAAAGTAGCGTGACATCTGTTACAGCTTTCATGAAAAGTACCATTATTTTGACTTTGAATTCATGGTACAAGTCAAAAAATGTCTCGTAATCAACTTCAACAAAAACTGTTTAGCTATTTTAGTGTACCTTGAAATGCCAGATCGACAGGAAAGGATAACTGACCGGGTTTTTGTCAAATGTTTAGTTTACAAGTATGCAATAGTTGAGACTACCATAATTGTAAAGTCCAATTTATAAATGTCCACAATATTCAAATGAGACTTACGATCATTTTTAAAATATATTTTGTGATCCTTCCCAATATAGTTTTTAGTATTGTTAGCATTTAAAATTAATAAAATAGACATTATAACATATATGTACATTAAGACTGAAAAGTTTTCGGAAATTCTCATTTAAAATTCGCGCGCTGTATATTTTTCGATATTTTAAGTTTATGTAGTTTGGCAGCACTGTCCTTAATTACTATGCCAAAAATGAGCTCGATCTGTCAGACAGTTCGTTTACGGCAGCTGTTGAAACCAGTTCACCTCAGTAGTGCGTTGCGAAATGTCTTCGACGGTCGTACGACCGTCCTGGAAGGCTTTGTACCACTCATAAACTTGAGTTTTCGATAAAACTGATTCCCCATAAGCCTTTTGTAGCATTCGCAACGATTCTGCACACGAAATTTCGTTCGAAACACAAAATTTGATGCAAACTCTTTGTTCAATATTTTTTTCCATTGTTTTTTTCGCAACGCCCTACTGAGGTGAACTGGTTTCAACAGCTGCCGTAAACGAACTGTCTGACAGATCGCGCTCATTTTTGGCATAGTAATTAAGGTAATTGCTGCCAAACTACATAAACTTAAAATATCGAAAAATATACAGCGCGCGAATTTTAAATGAGAATTTCCGAAAACTTTTCGGTCTTAATGTATGTAAGACACCAGAGTATTTTGTCACCCATTTGAATTGTGAAAAAACGGTGAAAGAAAATGAAAAAAAGGGACTATTCTAAAGAAGTTCTATTGTAATAAGTTCTCTGTGACAAAAAAAACGAAATGGAAGACAATTAATTTTATTAAAATGTTAAAACTTTCCTGTTTCATATTTTCCAATAAAGATATATTCAAATTTTTATATAGTCGCCTCTAAGATAAGAAAGGTCACGTATCTAGAGAGATTGTTTTGTAAAGCCTACTACTAGCATTTGTTTCATACAAAAAATTAACATTAAACTTTTTTAAATAGACTGTTATGCCAATTTTTCGAGAGAAATGTATATTGATACTAGGCCTAACTCAAAAAATTAATAAAAATTCATTCTCAAGATCTCGTTAAGGGCAGTTACAATAATTATCTTAAGAATAAAATTTCTGAAGATGTGCTGATAAATTGCATTAAAAATTACTTGATACAAAATGCGAACCCTCTTTCGTCATACAAGGACAAGTCAATAAAACATGGGAAAAATATTCTAAAATATTAAGTAAAAACCACAACATCTATAAACTTGTTAAACATTTTATATAAACAAATAATTATAATTTGATTAACACAAGAATAAAAAAGAATATATTAATATATAGACATACATACACACACACATATATATATATATATATATATATATATTAATATATATATATATTAGGGTGGCCGTTACTTACGAATGTGTTCAAATTCTAGATGCCACCCCCTAAATTTATTCGAATACTCAAAAAACTACTAAATGTGAAGTTTTAGACTAATCGGATAATGTTTAGAGGTCCGATTACCAAAAATGCCATTTTTTTACTTTTTTCAAATTTCTTCGCTCCCATCTCGCGTATTTTTCACCTTTGACTATTTGTACCAAATTAATATTATTCTTTAACATATTAGCTTTCAAATAAGGTAAAAATCAATCAATTTCGTCCACAATTAACTAAATTATTACTAAAATAAGAAATCATACTCGACGTTTATTGAAGCTTTCAAGAGCAGCATAAATATGGGAGTAAATACGAGTACGTATGAGCGAAAGCACAGTTTCTTGGACACAAAATGGTACAATATAATATTTGAAGACAATCAAATACTTCCTCACTATATATAATTGTCCACACTTGATTTGAATAATATGCACAAAATAGATTAATAAATATAATAAAAGGAAAGGAGTCCTTAAGTAATTTATTTATAAAAAATATTAAATTTATTTATTATTTGACAAAACTGTTTTAGTATACTTTGTAAAAGTCTTTCTATAATCTGTTATTACTTGCAATAAATATTGTTTATCTTGCTCATTTTTACCAAGGACTCTATTAAATTCTTCGAAAAGTTTTACTCCTCGCTCTGCCGTATCATTAACAGGTCTTATACTGTGAACAATTTTTAACGCGTGTACATAATCTGTATGTTGGTTCCATTTTTCTGGTTCTAGGTTCAAGAAATCTGTAGATATATTGAATCGCTTAAAAAAGTTAATGGTATTGGCTGTCACAAAATCCTCTAGTGATTTCGATAAAAAATCGGTTACTTTCTCCGTCTTCAAAACAATTCGTTTTTCTCCGTCTTTTTTAATATCGTCCACATTGTCGTGGCTTTCATTGTTATCATCACTATCTACTTAAACATTCATTGATATAATTTTTTTTAACTTATCTGCCATTCTTTTTTTAATTTTAATTGGAATGTTGTCATGAAAAAATGATAGACCAATGCATTTATCGGATAAATACAATAAATGGTTACACATCTTCTTAATAGCAGCCTCAGATATTGTCTTATCAATACATCTATAATTTTACATTTCTTTTATAAAACAAAAATCTTGGTAAGCTGCTTCTGATGCTATAACACATTTGAACCAATATTTTACGTAAACATGTATCATGAACAAACAGATATCTTTGAGCTTTTGCTCTTCGAAAGATAACAATGAGAACTCATTTCGAAATAAATATATCTTCAAACAGTAAAGGGCTTTGCACATCCAACGAGCATGGTGCATTGGTCCAGTGTCACGGAATATTGGTGATGAACTTTCTCCCAAAGAGATGATAACTAGTTCCAATAGTTCTTTATAGTCATCTCTGCAAATTGATTTTTGTGGTTCTTTGTAACAAAAAGTTTTATTTCATCCTTAACACCTAAGAGAATTTCTTTTGTTTACTTAAGGACTCCTTTCCTTTTATTATATTTATTAATCTATTTTGTGCATATTATTCAAATCAAGTGTGGACAATTATTATATATAGTGAGGAAGTATTTGATTATATTGTACCATTTTGTGTCCAAGAAACTGTGCTTTCGCTCATACGTACTCGTATTTACTCCCATATTTATGCTGCTCTTGAAAGCTTCAATAAACGTCGAGTTTGATTTCTTATTTTAGTAATAATCTAGTTAATTGTGGTCGAAATTGATTGATTTTTACCTTATTTGAAAGCTAATATGTTAAAGAATAATATCAATTTGGTACAAATAGTCAAAGGTGAAAAATACGCGAGATGGGAGCGAAGAAATTTGAAAAAAGTAAAAAAATGGCATTTTTCCGAAGTTTAAGGTCGATGAGCGACCTCTAAACATTATCCGATTAGTCTAAAACTTCACATTTAGTAGTTTTTTGAGTATTCGAATAAATTTAGGGGGTGGCATCTAGAATTCGAACACATTTTTTTGCCCCCATACATATTACGGCCACCCTAATATATATATATATACATGACATGCTACCAGTTTTTGTTAGGATTTATTATGATTATACGGTTAAAGATGTTCTATTGAAAAACTTTTATAAAAGATTAAGTCAATAAGAAACATTCACGGCTTACCACAACCAAAGGAAAAGAACTATTGAAAGCAGCGAACTGTATGCACTGTGACTTTTTATCTAGTGAAACGCCAACATATTGGCACACTGAATCGCCCAAGATTTCTGATTTTATTGATTTTTTTATTACACTTGAAATTGTACTTGAAATTGTCAATGAAATTGAACTCGAAACCCTTAAAATCACGCAGGCAAGACAGCGTGCAGCATGGAGTTGCACCCCATCCATTCAACTACTAATGTACAATCCGAGTCTTTGGAAAGTAGCCGATGTTATGCTTCTCAAAGCCAGCGCCTTAGGTCTCATCGTATAGACCAATTTCACTTCTATCTGTATTATCAAAACTGCTCGAAAAAATTATTGCTAAATGTCTTAACACACTTATTGAGGCAGAAAAGCCCATCAATTCGGATTTAAAAATAAACATTCTACAATCGATCAAATTCACCGAATTACCAATGTAATTGAACAAGCGTTGGAAGGAAATAAGTTTGCTCTGCTGTTTTTCTCGATGCATTTCTCCAAAGCATTTGACAAAATATGACACAATGGTCTTCTGTCAAAACTACGAAGTACGCCCCTAAACAATATTGCGATCTTCTGGAATTCAATTTGATTGACAGATTCTTCCGAATCAAACAAAATGACATAACATCTGAGCTGAAAACAATCAAAGCAGGGGTGCCGCAAGGTAATATTCTTGGCCCAACTCTCTATTTTATATTCACAGCCGATCTCCCTTCAGTGCTAGGTGTTTGTACTGCTATCTTTGCAGATGACACAGCTCTTCTGAATATTGATTCAGATGTTGATGCTTCAACTAACACACTTCAAGCTAGATTTCTGAAGTCAGTAAATGGTGTAAGAAATGGCGAATTAAACCTAATATTACTAAATCTGTTCACATTAACTTCACAACTTGGAAAATTCAAAATAAGCCTATTTTTCTGAATGGTTGTGCAATCCCATACAAAAATATAAAATGAGAAGAGCTTTTAATTAAATGGAAGAAACTGTATTGGCTTATGGGAAAAAAATCCAAACTCTCACTAGAAAACAAACTTATATTACATAAACTGGTCGTTAGACCCGTTTGGAGTTATACAGAGTTGGGGCCTCACAAACAAACTAACCGTATGGTTATTCAACGTTTCCAAAATAAGGTAATGAGGTGTGTTGTTAAAACGTCTTGGTATGTACGTAACTCGTATCTTCACCGCGACCTCGACATTGAATATGTAGCGGACGTCATTACTAAGTTCGTAAATTCTCATGCCTGTAGACTTAGGCGTCACGCAAATGCAGAGGCATATGTGTCTCTCTTATCCTATGCAATCAGATCAAAGAATAAATCGAACTCTACCCAACGATCTTGTTGGTATTTAGCTTAAGAACTTTACTTTAAATTTAATTTTATATTTGATAAACGAAAATTGCTTGTTAGTTTGTGTTGAAGTTAAAATCTCTCACAATGTTAATAACACTACACATATATAAATATTTTTGTCAAGCTTTAATAAGCTTTTATATACTGTTATATAATTAATTAAATAAATAACGACAGTTATTAGGTATAATAAACTTAAAAAAAATACAACGCGTATTTATTTCAAAGGTGTGTTCTACATTTAAATATCCAATAGTTTGTAAACTAGTTGCAGTATTATACTGACAATAAAAAAAAATAAGAAAAATTAATAATAAGTTTAAGAGTATCGATAATGACAATTCAGTCTTCAATGTCATTCCTATAGTATTTTTTCAAATTATTATTATATTTTGCGTGGTAATAATTTTGTGACAATAAATTAAACTAAATAAAATAAAATTCTAAGAAGATGAAGACATAGAGACTACCATAAACGACTGCTCGAATCTTTAATGTCATTTCAATATTCATTTCAATTCTTTAAAAATAAATTTATATTCTGTTCAGTAATAATATTGTGACATTGGTGCAGATCTAATTGAGATAATATTCAAAAAAGACAGAGGCATAAAGACAACGAGTAACGGCTTACTGAATCTTCACGACAATTTCTGTGTTCATTCAAGTTTCTCAATAAATTAATCATTTTTTGTGTAGTAAAATTTTCTAATGCTAGTTTATATCTTATTCGGATAGATATAGAAAGTTTCACTAAGATAGAAAAACACAGGAACACAAGGCATGACAGAATCTGTCTTACGGATTTTTAATTTCTACCGATTGAGAATGACAAATAAAGTTTTTAAATTAGATATTTCCCATAACTTTTCATGTGATAATTTTAAAAGCAATACATTCAATAAGGAGTTCACACAATGAATAGAAAAGCGAAATAGGGACAACTTACTTTTAATAATCATGTTATTATAAGTAAAATTGTTTTTTTAACTTGTTATATGTAAAAACCACTTAAACCAATTTCTCACAGTTAAGTTTGAAGGCGTGATAATCTTCAAAATAGTAAATTATATAAAATCGAATCACGTTATTTTATATAAAATCACGTTATATCCTTATATGAAGAGCTTGGAAAGTCATCATCTATTCAAGCTTAATCAAACAGACCACTTCAAACCATGTTATAGAAATCATATTAAAGTATTGGAACTTCACTGGAAATAGATTAAGTGTTTCGATGAGTCTTGTGTATATTTAATCTATTTAAAATGAAATAGAGTAAGTATAAGATATTAGTTTTATTAGTACCGATGTCTGAAATTAAAATTTATCTTGATGTTATCATTATTTATATTCAATACAATCAAAATATAAACCATATTCTCTTAAACCTTCCACGTATTATTTTAAATATAACTTACCCTGATGTGTAAAACTTCGTACAGTATTCGCTGATTGTGTAAGTAGACCGCGTTTTGGAATATTAATTGAATTTATTTCCTGTCCCATTATTTGTTCGTACAATTCTTTCATGGCATCTGGTATTACAATTTTGGACCGATCTATTGTTGGCGGTCTTTTCATATTGAATAGTGATAATAAACTACTTTCAATTTCGACTAGAATTTTTAGATCTGGTTTAATTTTCTCACCGAGCACTTTTCTATTACTATATGTATTATCGTCGAGGTGTTCTGAATCTACTGCCGTATCCGTTGTTACTTCATTTGTAAGCCGGCGATTTGTTATCTGTTCACTTTCACTACTAATGTCAAAGTCTATAGCGCTGTCACTGATCTTATTTTTATAATAATATTTATTATTGTTGTTAATTATATAATTACCAGTATTTTTCAAAGTATAGCTGAACTTATTTTTATTATTTTGTTCTAAAAAAGTTTTTGTTGTTATTGGTTTCATTTCCGTTCTGCGCGCGCGCACTGCGATTATATCCGTTTTCAAACTTTTCACATACGACGATGTTAAGCGCGTATTTCGCAAGGTGCTAGCAACTTGCTGTTGTGTTGAAAAAGTTGCCAGCACAGCGACGAACAGCATCAGCCATGCGGGCATATTCACTTGCAATACTTAAATGAATCGAAACGAAAACACTAACGAATTCTTAACGCACACTTCAAGAGCGATGCCGACACCAATCAGCGCAGTTGGCAAAAGAGCGACAGAGACGGAGGCTGTGAGTACTTTGCTTGAAAGTTACTCCTTGAGTTTTGCACAAAATATTTTTCGTAGTGGTCAGCCCTAAGCGTGTGAATGTGTATACGTTGAAAAACTCGTAAATATTTTTGGACGGCAAAAATGTTTTGAGTGAGTTTCGTTTGAAAGGCATTTATTCATAAAATTAACAAATCCTAAATTTTCCGAATTGCGCGTAACGTTCTGTACGTGTACTTCATCTGCAGATAGTTTCATTTGCAATGTTTTTGAAAAATCCTGCAATATTTTCAATCACCGATCCTTCGAGTTTCTTTGACGTGCGATCCTTATCCTTAAACTAGCTTCGTTACGTGAATGCATGTATATGGGTGTGTGTGTGGCTTTCCATACCTGTTCGACACTTACGTATTAGCCAAGATAGCGACGGTAGCAGCAGATAGGCAGCTATGACAATTACAGAGCAGGAGAGGATTAGTACAGGTACTTGAAACGCATAATGCAAACAATGGAAATGTTTATGAGCACATAAAAACAGAGACACGTATTCACGCAGACCTAAAAGACACTTGTGCTGTGCTGTGATCTCACAAGTGATCATCCTGTTTTCGGGTAATTCTCATTATCTTTACATGCTTCAATTTACACTGAGCAACAAAACAGGTACTAAAGATTTTCTTTGCTTAGGATCGAGCACCGCGCTGTGCTTCAGTTTTAGTTTTCAAGGATTATCGGGATGTGCACACAACTATTCACACACTAAGTGCATTCCCAAACGCATTTCTCGGGTTTTGGTTTTGCAAAAGGATTAGCATACATCGTTAGTAATGTTGTTATTCTTGCTGTTGTTGTTGTTGGTGTAGTTTGTAATATTTTTATTATTTATTTTATATGAAATTTATTTTTTCTGTTATTTTTTTTAATGTTAGAATTCTTCACCACTATTCGGATTAATTAGTTGTTTTTGTTTCTCATTTGAATACTCATTATTTTATGACACCTCGCGTGAGGCGTGACAGGTATACGTACGCATAATGTTTGTAATTCTTACCCAAAGGCATTAATGACAACAACAATAACAAGATGACGCACATCTGTTTAAAGTTGTGGTATGACGCTGCTATGCTGTATCCCTTGCAACACTTACGTCACGACATCTGTCTCTTTGTCTGCATTGCTGTCTTCTCGGCTGGCTGGTATGTGATATGAAGTGAAATTCCATACAACAAAACTTGTCTTTGTCAGAAATTTGAGGGTTCAACTTCAAAACCAAGAAAGTAGGCATCGACCTTTAATTATGGTAAACCATAAATTAATTAATATGGAACTTCTTTTTGGACAATCAATTGAAAGGAATATAGTTACAGTAATTTGATTAGTTATTTGATAATCTTACTGTCCATTAATGATATTATATCAATTAATTTATTTTATAACTCACACAAATATGTTCAACTTGACCATACAAATCGATTTAATGAAGAACGTCTGTCTTCAGCGTCGGATTTTAAACTAATCATACCACAGTACGTACCAAAAAATGAGTGAAATGGACTGATTTTTTCGTTTACATTTACATTCTTACATTCTTACTCTATTTTTTACTCATTGCTATTAGTGGATCATAAGTGATGGGAAATTAAATATATTCAAATTCCATTAGGACAGCATTATGATGTTATTACTATCTTATGAACCAACAGATCTATATGAGCTTTAACCATGCCTTCTAGCTTTTTGACCACTTTCAGTATTTATTGGCTACTGTCTATCAATTTTTTAATTGCTGTAATTAGAAAAAATCAGTTTTAACATTATCAAACATTCGATTATTTGTGTTTATTGTTTTTGACGTTTGCATAAAATGACTGGCATTTATTAATGCGTCAGGCTAGTATTAATATACCTGGCCTTATACTTACAATTATGTGGAATCAAAACGACTTTCTTTGCTAATTGAGCAGGAATCGATCCTCCTTTCATTTCATCTACCTACGGTTCAAAAAGAAACATATTTGCGCAGGTTTATTTTTAAAAACGCGTTGCTTGAGAAGTCATCTTACTTGATTTTATGTGCCCATCTAGTAGCTATTTTATGAGACCTGTTATCATAAAGTTTTACTTTCCTTATAAAGAATTTTAGTAATAACTGTATTAAGTTGTAGTAAAGTGTTTTTAATCCTCTTTCAATTTATTAAAAGCCAACTAAAAGTCATTGTTGCTACTTTCAAACAAATGTCGTTCTTGCCAGTGTGCATATTTTAAAAGCAACTGTTGGCTCAACATATGCATTAAATCAATTTTTTTATAACAGCAGTTCTGATTTAAAAAAGTCAATATGTATAAAGCACGACTTATTTTCCACAAAATAAGTACTTATTTCCATACTTACTTACAACCATACCATACCATACTTCCGACTTATTTCCATAATATAAGTAGTGTCATTTGTTAACAGAAAATGAAAAGAACTCCAAGACATAAAAACTCAACTTCGCTTTCAGATATGTAGCTGCCAAATTTTATATTTTAAAGTCCACATTTACCTTTATTTGACAAGAGTATCAAGTGCTTTGGTGTACCAAGGGCTTATCTCAAATCCAGAATATTATGTTGAGTATTCTATTTGCAAAAGTGCTCGTTTGGGCATCATCTGTTGCGCGGCACTATTGATATGCCACCGATATACACCATAGTAACTCTTGTTTTATCTAACTGATGTCCAAATTTTACAATTTTTTTGATTGCATAATGTAACATATGAATAAAAATTGTATAAATATATATAATAAAGAAAATATAAATAAAGATTGTATAAATAAAGATAGACAATGCCTCATCTTGCTAAACGCCGGACTTAAAAATAAAGACATCCTAAACTGTACCAATACTTTTACTTTTGTGCTGTTTAAAGTTAATACAGTTGTCTTGATTAGATTCTTGTTGATGTATATATTGTATATGTGATCAAAAAAAAACGAGAATTTTGAAGTTTTGAATTCCCGCGCTTATCCAATGGGTAAATTTTTTTTATTTTCACGCTGGCAACACTATTATACACATTCTGTCAAAGTTTAACGCATATCGTACGATTAGTTTTTGTTTGGCGTTTATACAAAGAAGTCAAAAATTTTCGTGTGGCGATTTTTATAATGGATCAAAAATTAGAACAACGTGCGTGCATCAAATTTTGTGTTACAAATGGGTTCAAGTATGTCGAAACGTTGAAAATGTATAGATACGAATGGTTTAAAAGGTTCAAAGACGGTACTACAAGCTTGCACTATGATGAGATCCCTGGCCGCCCAACAACTTCTGTTACTGAAGAAAACATTGAATCGGCGAAGCAGATCGTGTTGGAAAATCGTTGTGAACCGATTAGAGAGATTACAGTGTTGTTGGGCATCTCATATGCACCGGCCGAACAATTTTTAAGTGATGTTTTGGGTTTGAAACGCGTCGCTTCTCGACTGGTGTCAAAAAAGCTGTAATTGGTTAAAAAAAAGTGTCGTTGTGATGTGGCCAAAGAGATGATTTTCAACGCACTTTCATCGAACGCATCATAACTGATGATAAGACATGGCTCTATGAATTTGACAAGTCCACCAAACAACAGTCGACCGAATGGTTCTTCGAAGGTGAGCCGAAACCGAAAAGAGAACGCCAAAGTCGATCCAAAATCAAGGTTATGCTGACTGTTTTCTTCGATATTAGTGGTGTGGTGTACTGTGAATTCCTGAAACTCATGGATTTTACACCGCGATAACGCACCGGCACACACAGCGTTGGTTGTGTCGCAGTTTTTAGCCAAAAACTCCACCAATATCATCAACCAAGCACCGTACTCTCCAGATATGGCCCCGTGTGACTTTTTCCTCTTCCCCCGCCCCCGACTCAAATTGCCATTGCGATGACCATAGACGCGTTTTGAGAGCATAGAGACCATAAAAGAGAATTTGCTGCGTGAACTGAAAGCCATACCTTCGGCGGCCTATAAAATTTGTATGGAAAATTGGATCAAGCGTTGGCTTGCATGTATTGCCGCAGGAGGAGAGTACTTTGAAGGCGATAATAAAGAAAATTATTAAAAATTAAAATTTTACTTTATTTTTTAAATTCTCTTTTTGATCATAAGGTATATGATGTTTTTGTATATAATGAAATCGCTACTTTGATTCAGTTGATACTCATAAATTTTTTTTAAAGGTATTAGATTTTAATAGTCCTAGGAATCAAAATTTTTCTTGACTGCGTTAGAGCATAGCATATTACATTATTTTAAGATATTCTCCATTTGAAAAACTGAATAACTCTCCAAATGCGAAGAAACATTAAGAGGAGTTTACTCTCTTAACATTTGTGCTAGAGAATGTATTACTGTCATGTCTAGCAAATGATTTCTAATAACCACTGGGGCATTTTTCTATGATTTCTATAATTTTATTATGGAGAGACTTACCGAGTTAATTAAAAATATCATTATTAGGTCATTATTATTATTTTATTAGGTGCTGCCCAATCCCCCGACTTCCACTTTTTCATCGAAATGCAATGCTGGAGCTATATTTTGCTCGTAATTAGGTAGCATATAAAAAATTATTGTTTTGACTAATTGTTTAGAAATTCGGTACCCATTTTGCTAACAGATTTTTTAAAGCCAAGTGTCTATACAATCATTCTTCACGGCATGTTTATTCAAAACAGTTATGGAGGATTTTTTTACGAGATTTCGGAGTTATATTCGAGTAATAAAAGCAGCATGTATTATCGGCGTCTGTTTTAAGCTGCATAAGAACAATCGATATCGATAACAATGATTTGACAGCTGAAAATGTCAAACTTTATTAAAATTTCTGTTCAGTAAGGTTTAGCAATTCATCATGAATCGTTTAACGCTAGAG